GTGGCAGAAGGGCACGAGCAGAGACAGAGGGAGGGAGAGTTGCTCAGCACCAGGCGGCGTAGGCGTTGGATTCGTAGAGAGCTGTTTGTATCAGGGTGGTTGGAGTCAAAGGTGCCGTGTGGTGGTGAAAGCGTAGGCTGCCCCGGAGGAAAGAGCAGGTGTCGTGCTGCTATATCGAGCTTGTGGGCAGGTCTGTCGTCACTCTCTTCCGTCTTGCGGTTCTTCTTGAAAGGGATCCCGCTGCCAGGTCGACGACGAGCAAAAGATAGGTTCTTTGCAGGGGAGGGGTGTGAGACCAAGGAAGGACCGAGATGGAAGGGAAGGAAAGGGACGTCCTGGCATTAAGAGACGAATGGGATGGAGAAAGCAAACAAGCGACGGCAGACGAAGCGGATAAGAGAAACAAGAGACACGCCTGGCGTTCTCTCACGCTGATGACAGAAACAGACAGGCCAGACTTGATAGTCCGAGGCGGAGGTCGGTGACTTCCATGTCCAGGTCAAGGTTCAACGTCCAAGAAAAGACAAGGCAAGGCAAGGCAGGTGCAAGGTCCAACCAGTTGCAGGAGGCAGGAGCATGTACCTACAGGCCCAGGGAAGGAGCGTGTGCACGCGCAAGAGAGAGAGAGAGAGAGAGAGAGAGGGAGGAGCCACCGTCCAAGCCCAGTCCAGGCCAGTCCACACCCGCACGACTTGGAACCGCACTCGCACCAGCACCAGCACCAGCACCAAACCCAGACCAGGCAAAATGTGTGGAGTGTTGTTTAATGTCGTGGTTGCGTCGTCGGTTGTCTGGGCTCTGGACTTTGGACCTCTGGTGTGCATACGGCTCGGGTTGTCCTGGGTTGCGCCCCCCCCCCCCCCCTGGGAGGGTCCGGTCCTTGTTCCCCCACCCCTCTCGCTGCCTCCATACGCCCCACTAGTGGCCGCCATCCCTGCGCCCCTACTGGCTCGTCGTGGGCGAGACCGGCTGACTGTGGAAGGTGTGCCTTGTGAATCCATGTTGGTGGAGCCGCTCGTGACTGGTCGGAAATGCCTGGTCGCCGGCGCCGCTTCCCATCAATGCTCAAGTCCCATG